GAGGGGAGACATGATGGTGTTCACTACATGGCTACACAATAGCTTTTTTTAATCATGAGAGGAAAGTCCTGTATGTCAGATGTGGCAAAGTGGGTTGTTGGACCTACTGAGTTTCTGCATTTGTTAAAGGTGCAGAGCCTGTCTCAAGAGCAGTGCTTTTTTTTCTGGGGGGACACATACCCGTAAACATTTTGTGAATCTTTGTACTTTGTCCATCTACTGTATCCCCCCCCCCATTTGAACTATAAAATGGTGATTTTCTTGAGTCAAAATGAGAGTACCCCTAAACATTTTGTGAATCTTTGTACTTTTGTCCATCTACTGTACTTATTTTTCCCGATTTGAACTATAAAATGGTGATTTTCTTGAGTCAAAATGAGAGTACCCCTAAACATTTTTTTTAGAAAAAAAAAGCACTGCTCAGGAGAAAAGGTGGTACCTGTAATTCACTGTACCATCTTGGAGGCTAACAACGGATGGAAAAGTGCTGCAACCTAATGTGTTGTGCCCGGTTACATTTCCCACTCTGGAATAGAACATTCCCTCTCAAAACACGGTGCATGTTTTGATACGGAGTGCTGCTCTGCAAGACGTTTCCCCCATCCCAACAGAGTAGTGCTTCTTTCCACTACAATCCAAATTCCGGCACACCTGGTGCATAGTTTTTGCAACTAATTCTAGGTCCAAAGGAGAGGGATGCTCTGGTGTTACTTAGAATGGCCTCTGCCTGCTGGACCTTGACAGTAAACAGGTTTGGCAAAGACTTGTTGTCCTCCAGATATCATTGGATTACAACTCCCATCAGCACTAACCAGCATAACCAAGGGTCAGGGATGATGGGAGTTGTAGTCCAATAACTTCTGAAAGGCACCACATTGACTATCCTTGGCACAGACAACCCAAGCTCCCTACCTAATGGACCCAAGTTATCTTCAGCTTGGGTTGTTTGCCTAGATTTTTTTGGTGGAGACAGTAGCCAGGTCTCAGATACCGGAGCTTGACTTAGTGTAATATGGCAGCCTTTTGCTGAGGTCTGGAGAGGCAAGGAGCTGGGATGAGAGGAACCAGGTCCAAGTTTTACATCCTCTGCATGGCTGAGGGAAACCAGGTCCCTTAAAATTGCACCCAGAAGCAGTAACGAGAAGTAATGAATTGTTCAACGAAAGCTGAATGGTTTGTTCACCTCAGAAAAGGCATCTTTGCTGCATGATGGACTGTTTTGCTCTTACAGGCCTTCTGGAAATAGTCTCTTCCATCCCAACAGCTTCCCATGGAACATACCCAGCCATACAGGTCTGAGAACCACAGTGAGGGGGAAAACGGAAAGGAGACACTCTTCCACGCCATATTTGTTTGCGCCAAAGGAAAAAAAGACGTACACTACTTACTGGGAAAAGAGCTGGAATTTGGAATACATTTTTTTATTATGGAAATTACAAGTGCTAACATAATTTGCAAAGACATATAGCAGTTCTCAAAAAAAAATATTATTATTTAAAAAAAGCACTGCATGAAATATTGTTATAAAGCTGCCTTTCGGAAGATAAAAGTCTTTTTCACATTATTTGGGAAAGTTTGTGGGCATTTGTGTGCAAATACCACACACACGCGGGGAAGTCAGTATAAATTGCATCCAAACCATCCTGAAAAACCAATAAATATCATTAAGCCGCTTCCACAAGCAGCTGCTTCCAGTCCAGCCGCATTGCAGCTGCTCTGGGTGGAAAAGGTAGCTGTAAGTAGTAGACATTTCTCTATATACCACCTGAAGAGGCATAGTGATAATTGGATTCCATGTGATAGAAGTGCCTTCGTAGTGTTTCTTAAGTCACATTGGCAGGCCCTAAATAGATGCTGCTGGTCAAGGGGAACTGTTTTGTTCTGCTGCCTTTACATCGCCTGGGGTTTAAGTTCTCCATGGTGGTATTTCTACATGTCACCATTTAAGAGGATCTTGGCAGCTGAGAAGCCGTAATGAAGAGAGTAGGTACATTCGCTTCTCTGACTCACAGGTTATCAGCTCCAAATGCCCTCCTGAGGGTTTCCACACACCCCAAGGGATAAAAAAGTGGGGTAACTATTTGTTTTGAACCGTGTGGAGAAGCACAATAACCCCCAACTTTTCTCCGGTGAAAATAGAGACTTCCCGTCTTACATTTCTCTGATGAAAATAGGGGCATTCTAAGGAAAACCAGGGCATTCTGGGATTAAATCAGAAACTGGGACAGCTTCTGTAAAATGGGGACTGTCCCTGGAAAACAAGGACACTTGTTGGGTCCAGAAGTACCTTCAGAGGGTGCTATTTGGAGTAAAAAGATAAAATGTTCCATTTCTCTCAGGCCAACATTTCAGGGTTCTTAATAACAAAACCTACAGGGAGCTGGCCTTTCGCTTTACTCAATGACTACAGAATTTTCCTTGTCATTCAGCAGCTTCCCTGAGGAACAGAAAGACTGGTCTTGACAAACGCTAATGGCCAAAGATGGGTTCCTTGAGTCAAAGTACGACTCTCTCTTTCTATGTTCTGCTTCCAAATATATCAATGGGGGGTACCTAGACCAGGTATGATGAATCTTTGGCCCTCCAAGGTGTTGCTGAAGAGCAACTCCCATCCATCCCAGCCAGCACGACCAACAATCAGGATTATGGGATTTGTAGTCCAGAAATATGTGGAGGGGCAACGGTTCACTATCCCTGGTCGAGACTCCTGGGTCCATTCCTGCAGATTCTGAGGTGTCTTTTGAATTCATTTCTCCCCTGATAAATGCATTATCAGCAACAGCAAGAAAGGCAAATTAGTGCAGATAATAACTGACACTGGCTCCACCTGGACTCGTTATCCATCACTTTCTTATGTTTTAAAGGACTTCTTGAACATTCATTCATCTTTAAAAAAACAAGAAACATTTGGACTACAGAGGCACATTTTGCAGAAACATAATTTGTCATTTTGCAGTTCCTTAAATACCATGCATTGCGGCCATCTACTTCTAGCTAAAGCCCAGTGTAAAAAATTCTCCTGTGATTTCCTCCCCACATTTATGGGAACCTAATCGTTTCAATGCTACTTTCCATATCCCCGTGTGGTGTTTTTGTTTTCTTTCTCTTCCCTCTGAATTTCATTTTCATCCGTAATTAGCTTCAGTGTGGGAAAGCTTGTCATTTTACTCCTCCTCTCACTTACAGGACAGGCATGTGAGCTAGGGCCTCCATAAGTCACCATAACAGGAGGAGCCCATTTGTGCACTGTTTTGCCACATGGAGGGCATTTCAGGGGCATCCCCGAAGTCTCTGCGCCCTGGCAGCGTCAGCTGAACAACTGCGCACTGTGTTGACAGATGGGCTCGAGTGTCAAATGAGGGATTTGACACAGTAAAATTCAGCTTTCAACCTCTGTCTAAACTGGGTCGTGCTCAGATCAACGCAACTACATGAAAGTGCTAAGCAAGATTCTTTAAACCAATCTGTCAGGAGAAAAGTCACAGGCAGATAAAAGAACAGGTTGGAGGATCGGGAACCTTGTACGATTGCAGGGGCTTAGCTGGAAACTTTTGTGCTCATCATCTCTCCCTTTGGCAGTGCATAAATGCCAGCCAAACCCCCTCATCCGTACAGATTCCCATGTGCAAGAAAGCTTCTAGCATCCCTCTATGCCCCAGTTTCACAAGCAACATCGTTCATGTGGCTTCACCTTTGGCACTTTACTCCAAGTAATGGACGAGCAGGATAGCTAACAGACTCCGGGACTAGCCGGAGCTTCTCTTTGGCATCACACATTCAATGAGAAAGGGAGACGCGAGGTCAATCCCAACACTCTTTTGGCATATCAGGTAAGTCTCTGGTGCAAATTCGGCTCACAGTGAATCATGCTCTGGAGCAATTCACTAAAAGCAGAGTCTGGAATTGAGCCCATGTTGAACTGGGCTCAGAAACCAATGCACCCAAGAGATTTCAGACTTTCAGGCGCATCAGCAATCTGTGATCCCAACAAATTATCCAGATAATTTTGACACCTGATTGCACATTCATCAGCACATACACACCCCAAGCAGTCTCTAATCTATATGCATAAGCACCCTCGAAAAGATATCCCCTCACAGTGCACATCACTCTGTATGTTCTCTGATATTTAATACATTCTTTTTCCTTTTTACCACTTTAATTCACAGGGGGGAGTGGCCTGCTATTCTGAGCACGCGTGAGCCAAAAGCACACAGAAATTTAAACTGCGGCAACTTCTGCAATTGCAGGTTCACCAAAAGTGACACAAACACATCAGTTGCCACACGTGAAATCAACTTGTGGCTAGCGCATTACGAAGCTCGCGAACGCAGGCCATTTTCCCCTGCGGAAGAAAGATCCAAAAGTCCTATATGTGCTAGTTCAACATTTCTGAAAGAGGAAATTCCTGGGTAAGGTCACGATGCCTGTCACTCTTTCAAAACCATCCTTTTTAGACCCTCGTTCATTGGGCCCATGAGAATAGAAATTGTTCACCTGCACATACATGGAATGCATCAATCACTTTTTGTGCAAACTATGGTGGCCGCAGGATGTCTCATCTTCCACCATAGGTCTGCAGAAAAAGAAGAGTGTTCTCTACAAATGTCAGTGGGACAGACAGACACACACACACCCTCATTCCTTTCCATACAAATGAACCACAGTGGATTGTTAACCTGCATGGAAACTTCTGGTAAGTGCCAGGGTTCTGCACAGCAGAAAGGAATCGCCATATACGAAGCAACGTTTTTAATCTGCTGCTGGCGTCAGTGCTACTACGTGATAAACCAAACTTCACGGAGAGTTCCTGCTACAATTGGCTAGTATTGGCAAAAGGCAAAGGCATTCTGTGCGGACAAGAGGCTCTGGGAAGTGCATGAAGCGCCGCTTTGTGCTGCGTGATAAAAAGAGATGCCCTCATCGCTCCCTAATAGCGGGACCTCTGCTTTCTGGCTTCTACAGTGAGGCATCCTGTGGACAGCTACAATGCTGGCCTCTTACATCTTGAATCTCCTGTTGATAAAGAACAGAGTGAGAGTCTGTTAAGGGAAGGGTCTGAGGGAAGATGGTAGGCCTGTAAGGAAGCAACTGCCGGCTGATCTGGACGCACACGGCAGTGTATGTGGCCTGCCGAGGACGTGGGCATGCAGCTGCTATTTACAAAACGTGAAGAAAAAGCCTTTTATGGGGAGACTGCTGTTCTCCAGTTCCAGGGTTAGCTGTGCTCATCTGAAGTCACATAATGAAGGGAACAGTAAAACCAGGACCTTTTTTCAGCCGGAACTCACTGGAACTCAGTTCCGGCACCTCTCAGGTGGGCACCGTTGCCATTACAGTGGTACCTCGGGTTACATACGCTTCAGGTTACAGACTCCGCTAACCCAGAAATAGTGCTTCAGGTTAAGAGCTTTTCTTCAGGATGAGAACAGAAATCGTGCTCCGGTGGCACGGCAGCAGCAGGAGGCCCCATTAGCTAAAGTGGTGCTTCAGGTTAAGAACAGTATCAGGTTAAGTACGGACCTCCGGAACAAATTAAGTACTTAACCCGAGGTACCACTGTATAAGAGAACACGGTGAGTTCTAGCACCTCTTTTTCTGGAAGAACAGCACTGAGTAGAAGGCATACAAAACACACCGCCAAAGGTATTTCTGTGAGGAGGGAAGCATCAGTCCAGGGTGTTCTGGAGAGTGTGATTCATCTCAGCACTGTAAGTGGGACTGCACGGCAGAAAGCAATGTGGACACTTCAGGATAGAGCTGGGTATGTCACTGAATAAGGAGTGAGATGCTCCTTAACCTCTATCCCATAAACTAGCGACGTTCCCGTTGTACTGTTGAGGCAGGAGATATATGGGTGTTTCTGGTCACAGCACCATCTCTTTCTCTTATCTGCATCTCTAGAAGTCTGGTTTTAAGACGCCCCCCACTCTGAGCATCTTCTAAGGCCAGAATTGGATTTGTGGCCCGGTCCACATCAGGAACAGGTCAACAGTTGTGCGCAAGGTCTGTGAGGGGGGGTGCGGAAGGGTGCAGCTGCCCATGGGCTTGGGTTGAAACATGAGCTTAGAAAGGGCCCCAAAAGCTGGAGAAAAAAACCAAATGAGCAAAAAACGCTACCGCTAAGCAGGTTCTCGAGGAAGGCACATCCTTGCCTCTCGCCTCCATCGGTGCAGTAAGGAATGGCTAGGCAGGTACGCCTTTGTGACTTACCTGGTTCTTTATGCATGTCTTTCTCTGAAGAAAAAAGTCATTCTGAACAGCAAAACAAGCATCCCTTTGAAGCAAGCTGACCACAAACCCTTTCTAGGCAGCCTCTTCTTTAATATAGGGGTGCAGAACAAAGCAAACTTTAGGAAGCTGGTGTAATTTACACCTGGGCAAATTATGCTTGGTGTGCCTTGTGGCTGTTCAAAACTCAGCTATTGCTGGCTGAGCTGCCCTAAGTTTGGCAGAGGGAAAACTAAGATATAATTTGTCAACCCATCTTGCCAGTACAGTGGTACCTTGGTTCTTGAAATTAATCCGTTCCGGGAGTCTGTTCGACTTCCGAAATGGTTCGAAAACCAAGGCACGGCTTCTGATTGGCTGCAGGAGCTTCCTGCAGCCAATCAGAAGCCGCGTCAAACATTTGGCTTCCGAAAAATGTCCGCAAACCAGAACACTAATTTCTGAGTTTGCAGTGTTCAGGAGTCAATTTGTTGGGGAGCTAGGCCATTTTACTACCAAAGTACCACTTTCACAGCCTTACTCGGCCACATAACTGAGCTGAAAAAAGGGGTTAGTCTCCTCCTGCCTTGTCCTGTCACCACCACACTCCCACAAACTGCCACCTTTTCGGGACTTACCGCCATATTGGCTTAGCCCCATCTGAGCCGAGATGGAAGACTTATGGCAGCTATCTCTGGATGAGCTGAGCTGAGACCCACCTATTCCAAACTCTGGTCAACCTGGCAGATCTTGGGTGTTAATTGGTCTCTAAAAAGACTGACGTGGGTTTTTCCCTGGTGCAATCCACGCTGACAACAGTGCTGTTCCTCCGAAGATACTCTGCCCTCTTGCTTCTTATTTAACCAGCTTTGTAAACAGTGATGAACAAGAGAGGTACCTTCTCAGGTGAAACCCTTGCTCATTTTTTCTGCCTTACTTTGAACCCAGGAATATGCATTCTCAGGACCAAGTCAAACTGATGAGGGTAGAAGTATCTTGACAGTTTGGGGGAGTTTTGTTTTTTACTTCAGTGCATCCTCACGGCCTATGAATTTAGGGGCAGGAGGGAGAAAACCACGTAGGGAAGATTATTTTGATGGAGAAAGCATCGCATGGGGAAAAGGGTTAAGCATCCCTCTCCCCCCGGCTGCCCCTCCCCATCCTCTGGAAAAGCTGGAAGGCTGTTCACGTCTCCCCCATGTCACGTCAAGTATGGTGGTCCTCAGAATCTGGTTCACGGATTGACTCAGGCAAAACTGAGGCACTTCAGGGCAGCACCTGAAACTAAAGTCCCTCATGACAGATGTCGCTTCAAAGACTCCCTCAAACCCACACCTTTTCCGCGAAACTTCTGGCCTCAACCCAAACAAAGCAATCTCTGGTTACCTGGAGCTCTCTTCCTTACCTTCACCATCTCTCTAATTCTTGAAATTTAGAAGATAGGCTTAGTAGAGTGAAAGGCCATCGTTGGGTTTGGGGGTTAAAGCAGCATGTACATTAATAGTGTAGTAGTAGTGGTGCTGGTATATTATATTATTATTATTATTATTATTATTATTATTATTATTTCCATAAAAGGTATCCACAGGTTAGTAAGTTTTAAGTGAGGACCTGATTCCTTATACAGTCTTACCTTGGAAGTCGAATGGAATCCGTTCCAGAAGTCCGTTCCACTTCGAAAACGTTCGAAAACCAAAGCGCAGCTTCTGATTGGCTGCAGGAAGTTCCTGCAGCCAATCGGAAGCAAGAGAAGCCCCGTCGGACGTTCAGCTTCCAAAAGAACGTTTGAAAACTGGAAGAGTCACTTCCGGGTTTCGATTGTTCCGGAGCCAAAACGTTCCGAGAACTAGGCTGTTCGACTTCCAAGGTATAATGAATTGCAGTACTGGCATGGAACATGATAAAGGTAAAGGGACCCCTGACCATTAGGTCCAGTCGTGACCGACTCTGAGGTTGCAGCGCTCATCTCGCTTTATTGGCCGAGGGAGCCGGCGTACAGCTGGTCAGCATGACTAAGCCGCTTCTGGTGAACCAGAGCAGCGCACGGAAACGCCGTTTACCTTCCCGCCGGAGCGGTACCTATTTATCTACTTGCACTTTGACGCGCTTTCAAACTGCTAGGTTGGCAGGAGCAGGGACCGAGCAACAGTAGCTCACCTCGTTGTGGGGATTCGAACCACCGACCTTCTGATCAGCAAGTCCTAAGCTCTGTGGTTTAACCCACAGCGCCACCCGCGTCCCTGGCATGGAACATAACAGCATAAAAATTGTGCACAGCAGCCGACCAGAAGCCAACCCCTTGGGTGAAATTTGCCGGGTTGATTTTTACATGAATAAAATCAGAAAATGTTGTTACCCAACCTGCACCTTAGGGATGGGGTCTTAAATCAGTGGCATGCGGTGAAATTTTTCGTAGGGGGACGGTTAGGGCCAGAGGCGCCAGCTTGCGAGGATGTCCCGTGAGTGAGCATCGTGTCTCCCTCCCTAAGCAGGACAGAAGCTTCCCAGGCTTTGGGAAGGAGGTGTCAGGCCCCTGATAGGATGCCTGAGCTCTGCTGCCTCCTTCCCAAAGCCGGGTGGGGTTTGGGAAGGTAGTGGGAGGGCGGAAACATTTAGGGAACTAGCCTGGTCCCCCTCGTCCACTGACTGCACACCACTGTCTTAAATGGCAACAACAACGAAATAAAACTGCCAAGACAGGCAAGTTAAGACAATTTCCATACAGAAAAGAGATCCTGGGCAGAACAATTACTTGGTTTGCATACCATACTTAATTTTGTCCTACAAGTACAGTGGAACCTTGGTTCTCAAACTTAATCCATTCCAGAAGTCCATTCGACTCCCAGAACCATTTGAAAACCAAGGCGTGGCTTCCCTTTGGCTGCAGGAGCTTCCTGCACTCAAACGGAAGCCACGTTGGATGTTCGGCTTCCGAAAAACGTTCAAAAACCAGAACACCTACTTCCAGGTTTTTGGCGTTCGGGAGACGATTTGTTCGTCAACTAAGCCCTTTGAGAACCAAGGTTCCACTGTACTAGTGAGGAGAACCATGACACAACCAAGAGATGTGCATGACTCTGCATTTATTTTATTTTTTTATTGTTTTGGACATTGTCATTGCTGCCGTTCATCCCTAGTAGCGCTTGGGAGAGTAGTAAGAAAAAGGTAAGCAGTTAGTGAGCAACAAAAGTTATTTCCTGGCAAGACGCTTTCACTTCACATTGTAACTACATGTCCTTAGTTCACCACACATTCAACAAGCAATCTCTGCCTAAGAGATCTTTGGATGGTCTCTCACGCACACATTCAGACACATACGGACGTGAAATTTAAGCAACTTACAACAGCCCGTCTAAAAAAAGTATTTTATTTCAGAAAAATAAACTTCCAAATACAACTGGGCTTTTGTAATATAAAAAATAGCCGCTTTTATTGCTAGAGTGTGTGTATATAATATATATATATATATTTATATATATAGTATGATATGCAATACAATGTTAGTACATGTGAAAAATAGAAACTATTGATAAACCACATTGATATAACTGTAGATATTCATTTAACACTCCTTTACGGGCAAGGCAGCCTTTAAACTGCCCATAGGCTGGTGGCTGCAATTCAGAGATTATAAACTGATTGACAGATAACAAGTGTGCTCTGAAATAAGCTTCTTTGGAATGTAGAGGAAATTCAGTACTGTGCAGATGGGCAAAATGGGTGTTCAAAACAGGAGCTCAAAAGGGCACCATCCTCCAGGGACATCTTTTGTGCAAGCCCTTTTGAAACTGAGCTACTGCAAGGGCTCCTGGCGGATTGCACTAAACCTTCCCGACAGGCCACATTCACACGAGATAATTTCTCCGGAGCCTGTCTTGTCCACAGGTACAACCTGGGCCCAAACATTACTGGTAAAAATGAAAATCTTCCAGGTGTCCCTTAAATCAGAAATCAACTGGTCATGGGAGCAGTTGAGGGCGGAATCCCAGGAGAGCTCAGTAAAAGCTTCCATGCTCAGTCCAGGGGCAAGATGGACTATGCAAAGGATTCGAGAAAGCTTGACAGCACTGCAGCCATGATCTCAAACTCTTAAGTTGATTGGCTGAAGGCTGCAGTAACAACTTATCAAGGGCCAAGAATATAATCCTGATCCATAACTGACACATCACATTTGCAGTTTGCATTCTAATTCAAAGAGACCATTCTAATTGTTGATAGTGGTCTGCGGGGACTCAGCGGCTCAATCATCCCTGCATTATCCGGACCCAATCCCAGAGAAGAGAGGAGACGAAAAGAGAAGCAGTGTAAATAAACCTCAAGCAGAGAGCTATGAGCTTGTGAGTATGGTTTAATGAAAAGCTGTGATGTTACAATTAAGGTGAGAGCGGGAAAAGATTTGGCTTGCCCTGAACCTAGTGGCTGCCTCAAACATTCCCCCTAAATTTACCTCACTGAGCATATTTGTCAAACGCCAAAGGAGCCCCTTTAATTCCCTTTTGCCTGTAGGGTTTGGTCCGCAGTGGAAACAAGCAGTTCAGATCCATTGCAAAGGTGATGAATGCCACAACCCGGGCTGCTGCCCAAGCCCACCATGGCACCCCTCTCTGCAACACATGGCTCATGGATCAGTTTAGGAATAGTGCTTATCTAATGTGCAATCAATCGTCAGCGTTCGGATACCACAGGCTGGGTCAATCAACGCGTTCAAACCGGGGAGCAAAGTGAAGGAATTAATGTTGATTGTCAGAATTGCCTGAGGGACGCGGAACAAACGTGGTCTCGTTGGGACCCAATCAGCAAGCATCTCTCTGGCCCCAAATACCGAAATCTCTTAAAACGCCCCCAATGAGAGCAAGGCCTGTTTTCAATGAAAACTCGATCCATCTTGGTTAGACCTAGCCATCAGCACGTTTTTTTGTTTTGCTTTTTTGTTTTGTTTTACCCAGGGTGCGTTTAGGTTTAAGTCCTTTCTCGGCTTACTTGTGCAGGTATTTCTCCAGATATTCTTGAATCCACCTTAACTTGGGATCGACGCAGATCTGTTTGCTGCTGTTTTTCAGTCTTGCGCTGTTTAAAAAACAGGGGGGCGGAGAGGGAGGAATTTCAGAATAAGTAAGAGAATTAAAACCCTGAGCAAGAGAAGGCACTGTTGAATTTTGTTTGGTTCAACTCCTGGACAAGATGCAAAGTATTATCCTTTTTACATTACGCAGTAGGCAGCTGGTGAAAGAAAATTTCAGTGGTGGTGAAATCAGCCAGTACAATGACAAAAAAAGCGCCACACTGAATATTTCTACAGTACCAAATCACCTTTAAGCATTTTCACAGAGCACAAGGAAAAGGCCCTCTGCTGTGCTCATACTAATTAGGCCTAGAAGAGAACTAAAATCTAAACCGTTCCATCTTTAATCGGGATGGTTTCCTTTCAGAAAGCTGCAGAATCATATTGATTTCCATAGGCTTGATTCCGATAACTGCTTGTTTTGAAGCAATCTCAATTCTTACATTATCCAATTGACGGTTTTTCACTTTTTCAGAGGAAATAAGAGGCGACTTTTATTTCCAAGTAAAATTTTTCTTCACAAAGCTGTTCAAATAAATGGCAATTTTGTTAAAGAGTTGCTACTAAGGGACCAGAGAACTACCCTGGGAACCAGAGGAACATATCCACGATCCAGCTAATATTCCCTCTTGCCAAGCCTTGTAATATTTTAAATAAAGACTTTTGTGATTTGATTTGCATTTAGAGCATTGATGTTTGTCATCATTGTACATTTTTATGCAAAATTTGAATTTCAGGTTCATACTCATGGTTAAATACCGATCACCACACCAATTGCTGTACATGATGGAGACATCAACCCTGTTTTAAATATATGTATGCTTTTAACACATGTTTTGTAATAGTATAAAATTACTCCTTCTTTCAAGAAATGTGTAGCTTTTCTCCTCTTAATAGGAGACTAAAGTCTTTTTTAATATTAAGGATGGAATATCTTCATTAAATGTGAAAGGACTGATTAACAGCTGGTTTGACAGCAGCATAAATTTTGGAGCTGACAGCACATATATGTTTTGTTTTGCGAGTACCAGGTCCTCATTCCGGGGACAGAACTGCTTTTTGATCAATCCACACATAACTCTGGGACCCTTCTTTCAATTCACACCTACCCTGACTCTTTGAAGGCCTGAAGTTTCATCGTTACGTCTTTCAAATGAAGGGATCCCAAGGAGTTATGTATGTATATTTCTATATAAAGACACCCTTTGAAACACTGGATTGTGTTTACTTGCACAGTGATTTGAGATGGAGCATTTTAAAAACGGTTATATGTAAAACTTTTAAAAATGAAAATATGCCCCAAATTCCCCATCCAACTGTGCAAAGCACAACGCCATAAAGAAGGTCCTATTGTTTTGATTTTCATGAACAAACGGTGCCAGATAGAAGGAAATCTGTACTTGATAAATAAACAGGCGTCAGAATCCATCGCCAGGCTCCTTGGGCTGCCCAGACCACCAACCCACAATGCAATTAGCTGGCTGAAGTAAAACCAATAAATAGTTTCCCTTCATTGGAGATGAGAAACTTCTGTTATGACAAGCTTAATTGGGTGTGTTCCCTTAAGCTGAGGGAAATGGTAGATACACCAAGATAAATAGTGCCGGCAACCTGGTGTGAACCAACCACGACTCTGATGCAACAACTATCTCTCTCCCAATGGAGGTAATCTCTTAGGCCAGGCTTCCTCAACCTCTGCCCTCCAGATGTTTTTGGCCTACAACTCCCATGATCCCTAGCTAATAGGACCAGTGGTCGGGGATGATGGGAATTGTAGTCTCAAAACATCTGGAGGGCTGAGGTTGAGGAAGCCTGTCTTAAGCTGACCAGAGCTGTTTTTGGTGTCAAAGTCATGCATGGGTGTAGCTCATATCATCCCTGACCACACTGACCAAGCTGGCTGGGACAGATGGAAGTTGGGAGTCCAATATGATCTTGAGGGCACCAGATTGACTACCCCTGGTCTACCTCATCAGTTGTATCCAGCTGCCACTCGCTCAAGCCAGCTACTGAATTAGGGGAAATTTGTAACTAGACAAGAATGGTTGTAACACTCTGGTTCCAAATAGGTTTACCGAAGGAGATGTTAGTCTACCACGTCCTACAAGACAGCCAGGACCAACCCTCTCTCAAATAGACCTTATTATCTCCCGGATATAACTAGCCATGATGGGCAAGAATCACAGGCAAGAGGCTGGGCAAATCTCTGCAAGCATCTTGTCTACGCCCTCAGGCTGCCAAAACTGAAACATCTAAGAAACCTGGACCAGCCAGTGCTTTGGGCACACCTGTACTGGCAAGGATGGAGGGGGTGGAATCAGGACTTCATCTCTCCCGATGGGTTTAATGGAAGCAGGTTCCAAAATACCTGGAAGAGCTCTGCCAGGCAACTTTGAAGATGCAATGGTGGCAAAAAGTGTTGCTTTCTTGTTACCATCACCACAACAGAGTACACTTGAGCTCATACCTATGTTTGGCTCGTCTCCAGGCACCTAGAAGTGTCTTTAACTGGGGGGGGGGGGGCTCAAAGAAGTCCAGTATTTAGAAAAGGCCCCAGCTGTACTGAATATAATTGTAAAACAACCAGAAGCTCTGCTCCCAAGGCCCAGCAAGTCAGGGGTTACAGCCCTGGAGCTACATTTCTTCCTCTCCTCTATCAAACAACCTTCAGTGCAACGGGAGGTTTGTTTCATTGTCTTACCTGTCCTCCCTCCAGCTCTTTCCTCCCGCTGTCCTGGTTAAACTTTTTTGGGGGGCGGGCAGGCAGTCTTTCCAGGAGTCATGCAAAACATTTGAGATACTTCTTCACTCTTGTCACCTGCTTAAGGCATGGCCAAACTTGGCCCTTCAGCTGCTTTGGGACTACAATTCCCATCATCCCTGACCACTGGTCCTGTTAGCTAGGGAAGATGGGAGTTGTAGTCCCAAAACAGCTGGAGGGCCAGGTCTGGCCATGTCTGGCTTAAGGGGACACACCCAAAATCTAAAAAGAACCACCTTCTTCTACAAGGCTGACAGTTTCTGTTTAAAACTAGCAAAATCCAACCCACGTTTGGTGCCTTGGAGTGTAACAGCTTACTAGCCCATCTCCGACACTGGATAAATTCATCGTTATTGTTCGAATAAAATTTAGGCGTCCCTGCCTTTGCAGGTAATAAATATGCTTAGCAGATAATACATTGGACGCAATGTACTACCTTTTTTTTTTTAATTATATTGAATTTAATACAGCTTCTGCCAAAAATCCCCAACATAGCATTAAGATTATAACATCATTTTACATAATCTGATGGCGTTAACGGTCTACGTAGGCTTTCCACAGACATGTTTGCAAAACTGGTGGGATAAATTTGCTAACTGCTTCCCTTACGTATGAAAAGAAGGGGGGACCAGGTTCCATCAAAGGTGTTTCTCTTTTTAACACTTTTCCCTGCCCTTTCTGGCCATTTTATGTGGTGAGCGCAGTCCTTAAAACCAAAAACACTGAACTTCTATAGTTTGGTGCATTGCCTGAAGTGGCCACAGGGAGGCAGGCTAACAGGCTGTGCCCTGTATCAGAACTTCTCAGCCTCTTCTCTCCCCGGTTGCGTAGATCTTATTTTAGTTAAAAGAAAAATAGGCAAATGATTGTTCTTTTTTAAAAAAGGGGAGGGCATATTGAAGTTCTTCCAGATCCCCTCTGCTTCTGTCTCTGCTCCCCCCTTCCCAGCTGCCATTCAAGTTTCCTCTTAATTTCCACTTAAGCACAAAGAGCTTCTTAGACCTAAACCCACTCTCTGCGGCTGGGCTAGACAAAGAAGCAAAGAGTCATGTTTCACTGAGAATGTTTCTCAAATTGGACTCTTTATCATGCAAAACAAGCAATACAATTGGTTTAACATGTTTTCCCTGCTTAAAGTGAGTGGCATGTGCCCAAGGCCAAGATAAATATCTCAGGGAGAGGAATGCAACTACCGGTAAATAAATTTATATATTTTCGGCATTTCCATCTAGCCACAACTGCAGTACAGTATGCCAGCTGTGGGGAACCTTTGATTTTCCCTATCCATTAACCATGTTGCCGGGAGTTGTAGTTCAGCAACACCTACCAGGACTAAGGTTCCCACACCTGCATTATACCAAACAGTTTTTCATCCAGTACAAAATTATCTTTCGCATCTGAAAAATCGCAGGATAGGCATATTCTCCCCGTCACATATTAACCCAATTATGAATTAATTAACTAGGCTAATAACAACAACAAAAACCTATTGTTGGTTCTAACCCTTACAAATTATTTTGAGAAGGCCCGGCAAGTCTACGTTTGCACACAAATTTAACAATACAGTGGTACCTCGGTTTTTGAACGTTATCTGTTCCGGAAGACCATTTGAGTCCTGAAACGTTCGAAAACCAAGGTGCAAAGGTCGGCCGACAAATTTAATAGAGAAAATTGAGAAAAATAACATATGCACTCAGCAGGAACCGTTCAACTTCCGAGGCGTGTTCAAAAACGGAAGCATTTACTCCCGGGTTTACGGCGTTCGAAGACCGAAACGTTTGTCAACGGAGACGTTCGAAAACCGAGGTACCACTGTATTTGAAAATTGTTTCTATAAGTACCCTATTAGATTAAGGTCTGGTTAACTACAATAACGATTCTCCCCCCCCCCCCTTTTGTAATGTAGACAATATATATTTATGTTGTCGTTTTTCTGTTTGTTTTCTAAGGTAAAGGTAAAGGGGCCCCTGACCATTAGGTCCAGTTGGGGCCGACTCTGGGGTTGCGGCGCTCATCTCGCTTTATTGGCCGAGGGAGCCGCCGTACAGCTTCCAGGTCATGTGGCCAGCATTATTAAGCCACTTCTGGCGAACCAGAGCAGCGCACGGAAACACCGTTAACCTTCCCGCCGGAGCGGTACCTATTTATCTACTTGCACTTTGACGTGCTTTCTTTTTTTTTTTTTTTTAAAGCAATTTATTGGATTTTACAATAGGAATAAATGTAATAAACAATATAACATTCATCTTAACATAATTTCACATTTTCTTTGGACTTCCTCACATCTCCCGCTCCCACCTTCATCATTATAACATTTTGTCAGCAATTTATCATCTTATTTAAATTCTTATATCTCTTCGATATTTCATGATCTTATAGTTCTCATAAAGAGTTAAACTTTCACAGTTTTCTTATTTTCTTAAAAACTTCTAAGTTAAGTGGTGCTCAGTTATTTAGTCTAGCATCTTATTCAGCATTCAGTCAAATCACAATGTTTTTGTAGATAGTTCTTAAATTTCTTCCAATCCTCCTCGATTCTCTCTTCTCCCATGTCACGGATTCTGCCAGTCATTTCAGCCAGTTGCATATAGTCTATCAGTTGCATCTGCCATTCTTCCAGTGTGGGTATATCTTGAGTTTTCCAATTTTTTTGCGAGTAGTATCCTTGCTGCTGTTGTTGCATACATAAAAATGTCTGGTCCTTCTTTGCCACCCCTTGGCTGACAATACCCAAAAGGAAAGCCTCTGGTTTCTTAGTGAAAGTATATTTAAATACCTTTTCAATTCATTATAAATCATTTCCCAGAACGCCTTCACTTTAGGGCAGGTCCACCAGAGGTGAAAGAACGTTCCTTCACACTCTTTACATTTCCAGCACTTGTTATCAGACAGGTGGTAAATTTTTGCGAGTTTGACTGGGGTCATATACCATCTATAAATCATTTTCATTACATTTTCTTTCAAAGCATTACATGCAGTAAATTTCAATCCATTACTCCACAACCTTTCCCAGTCCTCAAACATAATATTATGCCCAATATCCTGTGCCCACCTTATCATAGCCGATTTAACCATTTCATCTTGTGTATTCCATTCCAACAGCAAGTTATACATCCTTGAAAGTATCTTAGTCTTTGGTTCTAACAATTCTGTTTCTAATTTCGATTTCTCCACCTGGAACCCTAGTTTCTTATCATTTTTAAAAACTTCTTTAATCTGAGCATAATGTAACCAATCTCGCACTTTGTCTTTCATTTTCTCCAAACTCTGCAGTTTCCAATTGTCTCCATCTTTTTCTAATATTTCCCAATATTTTGGCCATTTGGCCTCCATATTGGGTCTTTTCGGCCTTAGCTTCCAAAGGTGAAAGCCACCTTGGTGTTTTATTTTCCAGCAAGTCTTTATATTTTGTCCAGACATTAAACAGTGATTTTCTAACAATATGGTTCTTAAAGGCCTTATTTGCTTTAACTTTGTCATACCATAAATATGCATGCCATCCAAAAACATTGTTAAACCCTTCCAAATCTAACACATCAGTGTCTTCAAGAAGTAGCCAGTCTTTTAGCCAGCAGAACGCTGCGGCTTCGTAATACAACTTTAAGTCCGGCAGGGCAAAGCCCCCTCTTTGTTTTGCATCAGTTAGTATCTTAAACTTAATTCTGGGCTTTTTGCCCTGCCAGACAAACTTCGAAATGTCTCTCTGCCACTTCTGAAAGCACTCCATTTTGCACTTTGACGTGCTTTCAAACTGCTAGGTTGGCAGGAGCTGGGACCGAGCAACAGGAGCTCACCCCGTCACGGGGATTCGAACCGCCGACCTTCTGATCGGCAAGTCCTAGGCTCTGTGGTTTAACCCACAGCGCCACCCGCGTCCCTTTTGTTTTGTTTTCTACATTGGTACTATTTCTTGTTTCCCATTCTTTTCTGTGTTTTGGCTTACTCTGTGCATTGTGATTTTGTACTTTTTATGTCAATAAAGAATATATATATTTTTAAAAAAAAGTTTACGAGAGAGAGAGAGAGAGAGAGAGAGAGAGAAGAAGGCATTTATCCTGTACTAGCAGTACTTGTTCCAGAGGCAACAGCGTGCAATAGGGGGAAAAGGGGGTGCAAACTTACATGATCTGCAGAGAACAGCCGGGGACAGTCAAGATCTTGAGGTGCTTCACATGGGATTTCGCTACATTGCTCTCAAAATATCTGCATGGGCAGCGGTAAGTCAGGCTGATGGGCTTCCCTGGAGGGTGGCATAAAGGAAAGGATTTAGATGCCCTGGGCTGACACCAATACCACCTAGCAGTGCAGATTACAAGATTTAAGGGGAGGAGAGGAGGGAAGACTTCTTCCTGGCGTTTTTAACACTTTTGCCAAGCTGCAGGGGTCCCAGCCTCTTCAGTTCTCATTTCAGCTTTTAATCCCTGTGTTTGTGGGTTTTAGAAGGCGAAATGGGGCGCGAAACTGGAACCTCAGAAATGGAGAAGCGCTTTTCTTTCTTTAAAAAAGGAGCCAGCTAATTGTCCCAAGTGGCTGGGGGCAATTAAGCAAGATAAAGGCTGCAAATGAAAAGCCCTTGGCCCCTTCAATGTTATTCCTGCCAAAGGATTTGACCTGAGGCCAAACGCAAAGGCAGACAGGAGAAGAAAGGAGGCCCTCGGCTCTGCAAAGCCAAACAACACCCCCCCCAATAACCCCAGGGATTGCAAGCAGAGAGAGGGAGAAGGTAGCCGAACCCTTTGGGCTACCCAAGGACTGGCCCAGATGTGACTCTTCCAAGTCCAGTTGCTTTTGCAACTGTGGAATAATCCTATGGTAATTGTGGGGTGCCAGGTCTCACAGTAAAGCGTAATTCAAGTAATTGATGGCCACTCTTTTAGGTAAAGGGACCCCTGACCATTAGGTCCAGTCATGACCGACTCTGGGGTTGTGGCTCTCATCTCGCTTTACTGGCCGAGGGAGCCGGTGTACAGCTTCCGGGTCATGTGGCCAGCATGACTAAGCCGCTTCTGGCGAACCAGAGCAGCGCACGGAAACGCCATTTACCTTCCCGCCGGAGCAGTACCTATTTATCTACTTGCACTTGACGTGCTTTCGAACTGCTAGGTTGGCAGGAGCAGGGACCGAGCAATGGGAGCTCACCCCGTTGCAGGGATTCGAACTGCCGACCTTCTGATCAACAAGTCCTAGGCTCTGTGGTTTAACTCACAGCGCCACCCGCATCCCACGACCACTCTTCTAGCCAGATGCAAATCCAAAGGTGTGGGGAGAAAGGAGATGATAATTTCTGCTGATCCCCCCCACTGAATTTGCTCCAAAAGATCCTCCAGAACTGCCTAGGAGTCAGGAGAAGGAGCGCATGAAAACCACCTCTCCCATTGTTAGCAATACATATTCAACACAACGATTCCTGAATGTGCGTTTGCGTTCTTTTTATTTATTTCCAAAAAATTATGCACTGCTTGATCATTAAAAAAAAAAAATCCTCAAAGTGGTTCTTGAACACAATCAACAGCACAGGTTTCTTCCAAGTAATTTTCAAAACACAGGAAACTCAACTCTTGGGTATGACAAGACTATCAGACAGCTGACAGAACCTTCACGGAAAGCAATAGTCAGCATCTGTGGAAATGCTATTTAAATCCCCTAAGAACAAAACAAAATCCCAGCAAATTCACCCTTGTTTGCCGCTTCTCAAGGTGTGTGTTACCTTCTCCCTCTATAGCCCTAAGGTGACAGGTGCTCAAAAACCAGGCTAATGCTGTTAAAAAAAAAGTCTGTATTTTATTACTTCCACTCTCCTACAGTCAGGTATTTCCACCTCCCCGATGAGTGATCATGCAGTCCCTTTCAAAAGTAACTGCAATTCCAAACACTCATTTAGGAACTGAATTCTTTACATTTAGAATCCACTGGGCCTCTTTTTCCCACGAATAAGTGGTCATTCTGCCCATTTATGATTATTATTTTCCTAGTTCCCCCAAGACAAAAAAAAGTTGATTTATTATTGTGTCTGGGAAAATGTTCAGCTAGTGGGTCTGCCAGTCAATTATTTATTTATTCTGCATTTGTGTTCGCCCACCTACTTCTTAGAAACTGGTGTGTGTGTGTGTGTTTTAACAATCTGCAATTTACATATAACAATTTACAAATTCTACATATCACATGCCAATGGTTGCCTGTTGTAAAGTCCCTAGGGTTATACCTTTTCTTGCCCAGGACAGGATTGTAAAACTCCCAACAATTCTTGCAGGGAAAACTCTGCCCTCAGGGGGGCAAGAAGGGTGATTTTTCCAGATTAAGACCTACAACCTATCTGATTAACAACAGTAAATTTACGACAGTAAATCAGATTGTACTGGCAAATCTCTGAATGATTTTCAGGCCGGCAAGGCTTCAGGTCCCCACTTCTCAAAGGTTCGAGAGTGACTCCACTCACTGTACTAGTGAAGTGTTGAGATAACCAGAAGCAGTTTTGTTTTTTTGTATGGAAGGAAGTATTCAGTGTTGTGTACATGAATGACAAGTCCCTGAGCTCAGAAGTCTTAAAATTCAATTTCTTTTGCACCAAAAGGATCTTGGGTTAGAAACAAAGCCTCAGATTTGCTCATCTCCATTTTACAGTATGTATTACTGTGTACAAACGGGTTTTTAATGTTCCCAGTCCTTTAGTAAATAAATAACTGTCCCTGCAGACTGGTATATCTGAAAATAAACACCACCGCTGGTTAATCCTCTTCTCAGTTAACAGTAGAGAGGAAAACAAGGGAGGAACTCATCCTGTGCATGTATTTGTCCTTTTCTGCATGCCCAATAGCTTGGTGTTGGGGGATTTTGACCAGAGACAAAGCTCTGGTCGCAGAAAGCATGAGACCCTCTTTTCCCGGTCCTAGATCCCGAGTCCAAATTAGGACACCACATACCTTCCTGCATCTGCTGTTAGCAAAAAAACATCAGGGGATCCATTCACAAATGTTCTGCATCAGTGACACGTAACTTAGCGCACAATGTGAGGGTTTGGGGAGGGCAAGTATAGAGGGCTACTCCATCATGTGATTCTGAAGCTGCACAGACCAATGAAAGACAGCTAGATGAGATATCTTCCATAAAGAGAAGGTTGAAAGTATACCAAAACGCAGTACAAAGGAAAATGAAATAAAGAGTGATGATGAAGCTGCAAAGAGGTAGAGGGAAGTCAATTAATCGTAGCATGGAAATGCACAACATTAGCAGAGTAAGTAGATGATGTACGTAAACAAAGAAGAAAAAATGGTGTATATCTGTAATTTTTAAAATGCAATGAAAATCGATTTTAAAAAATGAAGTTGCACAGACCAAACAAACGTCTGTAGTTGCCTCTCTAGTGAGGCTTTCACCTGAGGATGCAGAAAAAACGGGGAGCTAATCTGGCTGGCCCTGCCCGCAACACCCCCTCCCCGCAATTGCGGGCACAGACTTTGGCACTCAGCTGCAGGTTTGAAGGAGTATATCCTTTGCACATGCTTAGCTGAATCTTGCCTGTGTTCGAGATCCAGGATGCCAGGGGAATTCTAACCATCTTCAGCTTAAATGCAGGAACCCCCGCCCCCCCCCGGTGCCCTTTAAATTGCATGGCTGCAAATTTCTAAGCTGGTTTTTTTAGTACAGTGGTACCTCTGGTTAAGTACTTAATTTGTTCCGCAGGTCCGTTCTTAACCTGAAACTGTTCTTAACCTGAAGCACCACTTTAACTAATGGGGCCTCCCGCTGCCGCCGCACTGCCGCTGCCCGATTTCTGTTCTCATCCTGAAGCAAAGTTCTTAACCCGAGGTACTATTTCTGGGTTAGCGGAGTCTGCAACCTGAAGCGTCTGTAACCTGAAGCATATGTAACCCGAGGTACCACTGTATTGCCTTTCTGCATTGTTGTAAGCCGCCCCGGGGAAGAAATCCAACAAGGGTAATCCTGAACTGGGCTTAAAAGCCTTGGGTCCGCGATCTCGGTTTGTCCCCCTAACTTTTCCAACTGAGGATATTGTGGCTTCAGGTGACAAAGGATGAGGGACTCAGTCAGGGCTCCACACCTCCTGCCCAGCTCTGCCTTTACTGACTCTTCTAGAATCCTAGAATTGCAGAGTGGGGAGGGGCCCAACGGTCATCCAGTCCAACGTCCCCCAGGAACCCCCAGGAAACCCCCCCCCCAATGCAGCTTGGTTGAAAGCAAAGCAAGGAGACTCTCCAGCTGACTGTCCCTTGCGGTAGGGGTTCCCTCTTTCCCCAAGAGCTGGCCAGGTATGCAAGAACAAAGGCGAAGGAAGAAGGCAAAAGCAGCTTTTGCCTGTGTTTTTCCTGAGCTGCAAAGCCTTAGCTTGCATGGAGAGGAGGAGTAGTATCTCCAAAAGGAAATCATGGCAAGCTCCTCAGTCCCTGGGTAGCAGCAGGTGAGGGCACCAACGGGTGATCTGTCCCCAAGAAGCTGCAAGAAGCTACTGAATATAAATTAACCTGTAAAATTTGGGTATTTCTCAAACCAAAAGAGCAGCGGGAACAGTCAAGCAGAGCAAGAGATTAGGCTCCATCATTCGGAGCAGAAACCAGGATGCTCAAGAGATGCTGATGCAGCCATCACCTGGGTGAATTTCGTTGATTCAAAGGATTTTGAGCACCTCGTTTACCCTTCATAGAGCTACAATTCCCAGCAGCCCTTAACGGTGCCAAGAATTATTTGAGGGGGAGAAATGAGCTTGCATTGAGCTCAGAAGCTTGTAAGCAGCCTCAGATTGCAGGAGGGAGCGTGGAAGGAATTTATAGCATAAGCTGCAAACGGGCTGCAACCCCCGACGTGGGTGCAAGTGTCCAAATTTGGCATCACTGCCTGGACTGGGCTGCGGGTCTCGTAGGCGACTGTGCAGCCCGGGAGGGGAGAGCAGCTTCGGGTGGAGAGAGATGCAAGGGTCGTGCGGCCGCCTACCCCGTCGGTTCCCCGGCTTTGCTGGATGAAGGCGCAGGTGCGCAGGGCTCGGCCTTTCCACCTCCCGGAGAAAAAGGGCCTCCTCTTTGCGCGGAAGAGAAGGGAAGGGGGCTTCGCGCAGCAGCCCCGCCGTCGAGGCGCCTGATCCCAGGCAACCGGTCCGCTGGCGGTGGCGTCGAAGTCCAGAGAGGGGCTACCAGGGTGCGGGAGAAAACGGGGACGCGGAGAAAAGAAAACCCAACTCTCTCTCTCTTCGCGCACAAGAAGCGCCCGAGGGCAAAGATTCAGCCCTTCGACGGCGGGGGAAAGCGGAGCTCGGCGCTCCCTCTACGCTGGAGAGAAGGCGAGTGAGGAACAAGGCTGACCCTACAAGTCCCTGCATCCTCTTTGGGAACCACGCCGTAGTCTTTTGAGCGGTTTTACTCGGGAACAAGTGGGTTGGGGAGAGTCGTGCATATCAACTTTCCCGCGGGACCCCCCTCTCCGTTTCCTTCGCATTCCTCATTCTGGACTGACAAGCCGTTTGCAGCATCTATGGGGAAACTTCGACAGTCCCGCCGCGTTTGCTACTTTCGAGGGGAAAGGGGCGCAAAAGCGGGTTTAGGAGCTGCCTGCCGCCCATCGGACTTCGCTCTGCCTTCGGCTACAAAACGGGGGGTGGGGGGGTATAGAAAAAGCCCGCATTTGACGGCAGAGCAACGGACGGGTAAATGGGCAAACCCCAGGCCTTACTGAACGTTGGGATCCATCGCAAAATGGATCACCCCGCTCGCTGCTCTGGAACAGGAATCCGCCACTGACACCCTCCCTGCCTCCCGCTTCTGTGCCCCCCGACGGAGCAGCCCCAGAGACACCTGCGAGGAGCCCCGACAGCCCTGGGCTGGGGATCCAGCCGCCTCCGCTCCTCTCTCCTGCTTTTGTCTGCTTTGCGCCCTCGGCCGGGACTGGCCTCCCCGCGACGGCGCTGGAGTTCAAGCGGAGGGCGCGCGCTCCCGTCGGCCCCCGACGGGGCGGAGGGCGGCTTGCCGTCCAGCACTTACCGTCGGCGGCGCGGAGGGTCCCGAGGAGCAGCAGCAAGGCGAGGAAGGCGGCTTTGCTGTCCATGGCGGCGGCTGGTCTGGACTCGGAGCCGGGTCGTCAGAGGAGCTGCAGCAGCTGTTTGCCGTCGCTGCGGATTTGCGCGGCCGTCTGCCCGGGCCGTTCCTCCCTCCCGCCCATCTATAGGGGCTGGCGGGGCCGGGGAAGGGGAGGGGGCTCCTGGAGGAGTTGCGGGGGGAGGAGGAAAAGGGGCCGGTCGCTCGGATGGACCGCCTGAAGCACGTTGTGATATCCGCCCGCCCTCCGAACAGGGCTGGAAAGGAGCCCAGAGACTTCCTCGCCCGCCCGCCCGCCCCCGAGTCCGGAGACGCGGCAGAGAGATCCCGAGGGGGCTGCGAGCCCCACAGCCCCAGGGGCTCTTCGCCCACGAAGCCTGCCCCCCCACACACACACCTCGAGAAACGGACTTCCGATGTTGCTTTTTCTGCTGCTGTCCAGCGCCCTTCTCCCCCCACCCCCGCCGTGCCTTCTTGTTGTTGTTTAGTAGTTTAGTCTTGTCCGACTCTTTGTGACCCCATGGACCAGAGCACGCCAGGCCCTCCTGTCTTCAACTGCCTCCCGCAGTTTGGTCAAACTCATGCTGGTAGCTTCCAGAACACTATCCAACCATCTCGTCCTCTGTCGTCCCCTTCTCCTTGTGCCCTCCATCTTTCCCAACATCAGGGTCTTTTCCAGGAGTCTTCTCTTCTCATGAGGTGGCCAAAGTATTGGAGCCTCAGCTTCAGGATCTGTCCTTCCAGTGAGCACTCAGGGCTGATTTCCTTCAGAATGGATAGGTTTGATCTTCTTGCAGTCCATGGGACTCTCAAGAGTCTCCTCCAGCACCATAATTCAAAAGCATCAATTCTTTGGTGATCAGCCTTCTTTATGGTCCAGCTCTCACTTCCATACATCACTACTGGGAAAACCATAGCTTTGACTATACGGACCTTTGTTGGCAAGGTGATGTCTCTGCTTTTAAGATGCTGTCTAGGTTTGTCATTGCTTTTCTCCCAAGAAGCAGGCGTCTTTTAATTTCGTGGCTGCTGTCACCATCTGCAGTGATCATGGAGCCCAAGAAAGTAAAATCTCTCACTGCCTCCATTTCTTCCCCTTCTATTTGCCAGGAGGTGATGGGACCAGTGGCCATGATCTTCGCCATGCCTTACCAGGTCCCTTTCCCAGGAGAGAGACCCCTTTTGGCTCGCAGCCTCTCTTGGCAAGTTCTGTGCCCCGGAGAGCAACCCCGGAGGGACGGCGTGGGGGGGGATTACTTCTGCAACCAGAGCCGATTCTCGACGTGGGTGCTGGGCAAGATTCCTTCTTCTCCTTCACATCTGCCACCAACACGGGATGTCGCTGCTGGGATGTTGCGCGGAGCTGGGGATCGCCCCCATTTCTGGTGGTGGTGGTGGTAGTCGTAGGCGTAGCGCCCGGTGGGTCACAGTACCCGCCGTCTATCAGCGCAGAGCGAGAAGCAGCAGGGATTCTTGCAGCCCACCATCCGGGCCTCTGGCCGCCTTCGGGGATTTGGGGAGGACAGGGAGCCAAAGGGAGAGCGGTCCAAAGGCCGAAGAGAAGACCTCTTGATTTCTATTTCTGGAATTAAGCACTCCATACCATACCCCCACCCCCAAATCATAGGATCGTAGAATTGGAAGGGACCACAAGGGTCATCTATAGTCCAACCCCCTGCAAAGCCGGAATCTTTCACCCAACATGGGACTCGAACTCACGTCCCTCAGATTAGGGAGTCATATACTCTACCCACTGAGCTATCTCACGAGCACCTTCCCGCAGCTGCGAATGAGCTGATCTGCCCCCCCCTCAACTGGCCATAAGCGAAAATGTGACTTGAGGCCACCTATGAGCTGCTAGTGACACAGCTGTTGTCCCAAGATGTGGTCCCCAGATGTTGTCCGGCTACAACTCCCATCATCGCTGACCACTGCTTCTGCTAGTTAGGGATGATGGGAGTTGTAGTCCAACAACATCTGGGGACCTAAGGGTGACAAGGTAAAGGGACACCTGACCATTAGGTCCAGTCGTGACCAACTCTGGGGTTATGGCGCTCATCTCGCTTTATTGGTGAGGGAGCTGGCGTACAGCTTCCGGGTCATGTGGCCAGCATGACCAAGCTGCTTCTGGCGAACCAGAGCAGCGCACAGAAATGCCGCTTACCTTCCCGCCGAAGTGGTACCTATTTATCTACTTGCACTTTGAGATGCTTTCCAACTGCTAGGTTGGCAGGAACAGGGACCGAGCAACAGGCGCTCACCCCGTCATGGGGATTCGAACCGCCGACCTTCTGATCAGCAAGCCCTAGGCTCTGTGGTTTAACCCACAGCTCCACCCGCGTCCCTAAGGGTGACAAAGGACCAGCTAAAGGTCCCTGGAGGACTCTGCTGCTCTTCTTCAACTTCAAGGGTGTAGGGAAGGGTCTGGGGATCTGTGACCCTCCAAATATTGATGGAGTCCAATTCCCATTATCCCTGAGCATGAGTCATGCCACCTGGGGCTGACTGGCTTCCTTTTCTCATGCAGTTTTGAGCTGATTCATCTATGGCAGGAAAGGGGTTTCCACCCCAAGTCAGCTGCATCATGTCTTTAACTGAATATTTGATGGGCATTTGCCAAAGGAGCTTGGAGGTGTCCATATGGATAGACATAGGTTTGGGTGTTCATCACTTCAAATCTCCATTCAGCCTCTTTTTATCATATGTGGTGGTCTTGTAGTTAGGTTAAAGCTTACTGGGAAATACTGTATAATGAATTGAAAAGGATGTTTAAAAAAACTTTTACAAAGAAAAAACCAGAAGCTTTTCTTTTAGGAATTACAGGGACGGAACTACCTAAATTGTATAGAGATTTATTTATGCATGCTACTACTGCAGCAAGAATGTTGCTTGCCCCAAAGTGGAAAGAAGCATAAGTCCCAGCAAAGGAAGAATGGATACAAAAACTTATGGAATATTCAGAAATGGCGAAACTTGCTGGAAGAATAAGAAATCAAGACAACAAACTTTTTATCAAAGAATGGAAATGGTTTATGGAATGTTTACAGATAAATTGTAAACAGATAAAAACATTGGCAGGATTAGTGTAATAGCCTGCGGTTTCATAAGAGTATATATTTATAGTAGCAAGTTAAATGAATTTGGATATGCAGAAGGTATAAAAAAATAAATTTAAGGAACTGCAGAAAGAGGGGGAAGGAAGTCAAATTTTGAAATGATAAATGGATTGTAAAACTAATGAAATGTATAAATTTGAAAAGTATAAATTATTTTAAACTATTTTTAAAAACTCCATTCAGCTATGAAGCTCATTAGACACCCACCCACAGAAACACACACACACACACACACACACACACACACACAGAGTTTGTTGCTGATTTTCACCTCACCTGCCTTGCACCATTCTTGAGAGGGGGTGGGGAGTAAATATCACACACACACCGCCCTATGAGCCTATGTCTGGCAAAACTTCCTGGCTATTTTTTTACCACGACTTTTTTAGACAAGCCAGTAGCCTCCCAGAGGCTACAGAAAAGATGTTTCTGATTAATTGACTTATACCCCACTTTCTTTCTTTCTCAAGGCACCTATCGAAAATGCCAGGACCGTAAAAGGATATGGTCGGTGGGTTCAGGTTTGTTTTAAGTCCTGAAATGTACATTCCTCTGGCAGCTGAAATAACTAGATTTTCCGAAGACGTCCAGTGAAGATTCTATAACTGAAAGTAATTAAATAAGCTACCTAATCGCAGCTGGGAGTCAGGATGTAAACCACACAGCATTGCTGGATCTTTTAGACAATTGCACTGATTCTACCACTCTTTGGGAAAGAAAATGGTTGCGAAGTGTTATTCTGCTCCCCTGATTGTGCCCATGGTATAGTTGAGATGAAATAGGGCATTCAATGCAAGACCATTTCTATGACAACAGTGTTGTCCTGAAGGTCAGTGTACAGTGGTACCTTGGTTCTCAAACTTAATCCGTTCCGGAAGTCCGTTCCAAAACCAAAGCGTTCCAAAACCAAGGCATGGTTTCCCATAGAAAGTAATGCAAAACGGATTAATCCGTTCCAGACTTTTAAAAACAACCCCTAAAACAGCAATTTAACATGAATTTTACTATCTAACGAGACCATTGATCCATAAAACGAAGGCAATAAACAATGTACTGCAGTCACACAATCAATCAATCAGTGCTGAACTAGGTTCCACACAGTCACAAAAAGAAAGAAAAAAGAGCCACAAAAACAAAAACGCAAAATAAATAGCAAAAACAGACAGACATCAGAGTAACACTCAAAACAGAAATGTGGCATTCAAATCGGAAGCGTTAACACTCAAAACGGAGCACATTTGGCTTCCAAAGAAAGTTCACACCCTTAATTCCGGGTTTGCCCTGTTTGGGTTTGGGTTCCAAGTTGTTTGAGTACCAAGGTGTTTGAGAACCAAGGTACCACTGTATATGATAAGGCAGGCTTCCTCAACCTCGGCCCTCCAGATGTTTTGAGACTACAATTCCCATCATCCCTGACCACTGGTCCTGCTAGCTAGAGATCATGGGAGTTGTAGGCCAAAAACATCTGGAGGGCCGAGGTTGAAGAAGCCTGTGATAAGGCATCACCCTCCTGCCCTCAAAATGGGATCTGTTTGTGTTAAGGGACAGCTACTTTTTCCTTTTGGCAATGCAAATTGCAGCCGCTGGGGCCCAGGCTAGATGGGGACCACTGTGAGGGCCCGAGAGTTAAAACCCTTCTACCCATGCTAGGATCTCAAATTGAATCCGGGGCACTGCGTCTACAATTTGCTGACTTTCCTACTCTCTCCACAGCCAGCACTGCAGTCATGGAGGAAGGGGCGGGGCTGAGAAGGAGAGTCCTCGTGGGCCAAGTGGAATGGTCCTGAGGGCCACACCACAAGCTAAGGCTTCCCCATCCCCGTCTGAGATCGATAGGCTTGCATCTAGATCAGTGTTTTCCAAACTCGGGTCTCCTGCTGTTTTGGGGGACTACAGCTCCCATCATCTCTAGCTAGCAGGATTCCCAGTGGTCAGGGACGATGGGAATTGTAGTCCAAAAAAACAGCCAAGTTTGAGAAACCCTCATTTTGAGCCTTTGCATTCAGAAAGTCCAAGCCTTGAAAGGTTTACGTACGACTTAGCTAGCAGACATACAGATGCAGAAAGGCTCTCGTTTGAGCTTATTGGAGCCATTCCTTTGTTTTTTCTGCCCTCCCCCAGCCCGCCTTAATGGGGCCAGATTGCCTTCATAAACTGTAATAAGCTTAGTAGTATGCGTTTCTCCGTAAAGAGGCGAGCAGTAACATGAAATTGCTCTATTAGCCAGCATCACAGACTCCCTGAGTTTTCAGATGCCGTTCTAAACAGTTTGCTGCTTTTCCATAAAATGCAACCAGTTTCCTTGCCTGCCTGGATGCTCAAAGCACAGAATCTCCCTCTAGGGGTTCCTTGGGAAGCAGAGGAGGAGATCAAGCAGGGGTCACATGAAGAGCTGTTTATAGATGGTTAACTAGAGCGACAGGAGATGTTAGTGAGAACCCTTCAAAAAATAATGTATGGCGATTTCAGAAGTTGAATTTTGCTCGCTAGGAAATTTAATCCGGCCTCAGTTGCATCTCGAGGCTGATATTTTAAGTACAGAGTTGTTGACGTCCATGTCGTAATTTGAAATGCTCTGTGGGGTTAAACCACAGAGCCTAGGACTTGCCAGTCAGAAGGTTGGCGGTTCGAATCCCCGTGGCAGGGTGAGCTCCCGTTGCTCGGTCCCTGCTCCTGCCCACCTAGCAGTTCGAAAGCACGTCAAAGTGCAAGTAGATAAATAGGTACCACTCTGGCGGGAAGGTAAACGGTGTTTCCGTGCGCTGCTCTGGTTCGCCAGAAGCGGCTTAGTCCTGCTGGCCACATGACCCGGAAGCTGTACGCTGGCTCCCTCGGTCAATAAAGCGAGATGAGCGCCACAACCCCAGAGTCGTCCACGACTGGACCTAATGGTCTGGGGTGGTGCTCTGCAGGGATCCTCCCCTGGCATATCACAGAACCACAGAATTGTAGAGTTGGGACCACGGAGGTCATCCAGCCCGGCCCCCTGCAATGCAGAAATATTTTTGCCCAACGTGAGACTTGAACCCAGGAGCCTGAGATTAAGAATGTCATGCTCCAGCAAATGAGCTGGATTGTTTTATTTGATGTTTCAACGGGTTTTGTAAACCGCTTTGAGTTTTTTCCTTTAAAACACAGTGGTACCTCAGGTTACATATGCTTCAGGTTACAGACGCTTCAGGTTACAGACTCCACTAACTCAGAAATACTACCTCGGGTTAAGAACTTTGCTTCAGGATGAGAACAGAAATTGTGCGGCGGCAGCGGGAAGCCCCATTAGCTAAAGTGGTGCTTCAGGTTAAGAACAGACCTCCAGAATGAATTAAGTTCTTAACCTGAGGTACCACTGTAAAATCAAAATGAGGGGAAAGCAACTGTAAGAGGGAAAAATTCTTGTACAATTTTTTAAATTTGATTTTAAGAATTATAAACATTGGATAAAAAAAAAACAATTCCGAATCCAAATATCAAGATTACTCTGAAATTCCTGACTTCCCCCCATCCCTTCCATCGGTCCTAATGATATTATTTACAACTGCATATTTATCCAATTTTTTAATCCTTCTAAATTATCCATACTTTCCATTACTTTACAAGTGTGGTTAAAATCCTGCTAATGTTTTAACCTGCTTACAGTGGTCTCGTAAATGAATTA